ATAAGCATGTTCGAATCAGATATAGATTATGAGATGATTATTATTGTCATGACGGTACAATTTGATCATAAGCTGCAAAGCACACAAAGCATGTGCTGTCTATACATCATGAGATGATTATTATTGTATATTTTAATTTTAATTTTTATTTTTTAATCTAATCATAATTCACAAATCATATGTACCAAATTATTATTATTATTATTTTATTTTTTAACTTGGATAAAAAAAATATGTCAAATTATTATATTTTATAATTAAGATCCATTTTAACTTATATGATTTTTATCATAGATGTCTTAAATCTTTATGATTTACTTATATTTAAAATAACTCATACATTTTCAAAAATATAGTATATAAGTCAGCTTCTCTCGTTAAGTTTGAGTTAACAGACATTATAGTCGTTTACGTGGCATGCTTATTCACGATAAACTATTAATATAATAATATATATAATTTATGATTAAAGACTAATTTAGCCTATGTGATTTTAGCCATAGAAATCTTAAGCCCTTATAGTTTACTAATGTCTAAAATAACCTATATATCTTAAAAATTATAGCATATAAGCTCCTCCCGTCAAGTCTGAGTTTACATACTATCACGGACTTAGCTGGTTTTGCCTAAGTCGTGCGGCACCCATGCGTGTCCGTCCGCAAAGGTCAGCCTCCCCGAAGCCTCCCATTGTCCCTTAGGACCAACAAAAGAAAGAACGGGTTAGAGAGAACGCCTCATTTATGATCCCCAAGCAAACATTTCCGAAAAACACTTCATAGACAAAGCAAATTACAAACATACTTTATAAGCTCTGAACAGTTATACAACAAAGGGTAAAATAATTCATTATAGATCGAAAATCTCTCACACGTGTCCACATGACACAACCTTTATTTACAAGCCTAAAACGGCCACCAACCTAACTAAAATGGGACTATTAAGCCTTTGGTCGTCCTTTTACATGTTGTACAAAGCATGAACATACCGAAAGACACGGACATATATAAGCATTACATCAAACATCCTGTTTAGAAGTTTGTCCGTGACAATATGTTAAAATATACCTACGTTATATGCTGACTCATAATAAAATAATTAATATAATATACATATATAATTAAAGTGAAAAAATTAAAATATATACATGTCATTATATTAATGACTTATCGTGAGTATGGTATGTAAGTAAACTCTATTGATTATTTTAAAAATATATGTTGATAATAGGGACTTATATGTTGTCTAATAGGGACTCTATTGATTATTTTAACTCAAATTTGATAATAGAGACTTATATGTTGTGTTTTTAAAAATATATTAATTATTTTAGATATGAGAAAATCATAATAACTTAAGATTCTATTGTCAAAACCATAATAACTAAAATGAACTTTAATCATAAATTACACATGTCATTGTATTAATGGTTCATTATGAGTCAACATATCATGTAAACAAACTTTAACGTTTGTTAGCTTACACTTGGAGAGGCTTATATGCTATGTTTTTTTAAATATAAAGATTATTTTAAATATGAATAAATTATAAGGGATTAATATATTAATGACTAAAACCACAAAGGCTAAAATAAATCTTAACTTTATATTCTATTTTTAACATATAGATAGACATATTATTTTAAGGTTCTATAAATGATCTTTAAAGAGTTTAGATTAATTTATAGAAAAAAAATTTCTTATCTCCACCCCAATAAGACCAACCAAAAAGTTTTCTGTCCTTTAAATTGAATTAGTTTATATTTTTGAACAGAACTATAGTGTTTTTTTATTTTTAAAAATTATAATTCTATTAAAAAATATTATAATTTACATAAAAAAATTATCTTCTTGTTCATAAATTAACAAAAACATATATTTGAAACTCAACTAACGTTGGTGAGCATTTTAGCCCGTTATTTTTTTATAGATTTATAATATTTTTACAGAAAATTTAAAAAATATTATATATAACATAACGGTTTGACCGATTCAAACATAGAAAATTATAAAAGAAGCATCAAACAGAAAGAACAAAAAAAAAAAGCCTAAAAAAATGTGAAGCTTTTTCTCCATCCAAACAGAAATTTTGTCTAAAGAAATTTAGACAGTAGTAATTTAACAAGAGAGCGGGATATATTCTCCATCCAAAACATAATTATATCATCTCATATAATCTTTTGGTTATGTGATACCACAGGAGAAAGTTAAAAGAAAAAATCACATAGAACTTCCATATCTCCGTTCCTTTATCATCTTTGTAAACGTGTAGATCCTTTCTCTAAAGCACAAACCAATGCCATCTCTTAGAATGCATCCCACCACCTATTACAAGACCTAATCAACTCTCGTAGGTGGTTGGCTCTTTTGCGTGGTATTGCCCCCTCCAAAGCTATGATTCGTAGTACAAAAGCAAGTAGTAGCCAGCATTTACACCACGACACCTTTTAAATTAGATTTACCCGTTGTCGAAAGTTTTATTGTAAGTGCCCTCATGGAAAAAGGATTCCTGTCTTTATTGTTCTTACTAGCACACATGTTATTTGGTAGTACATCGAGACAAAAAAGAGGACTGGAATGGGACCCTAAATTTATTTTGCCCCTCCAAATGCCATTTCAAGTCAGAATCTGAACTGACTACACGTTGAGATACTTTTTTTCCTTTTTATTTTGTTTTCTTGTGCAAATCAGGTGCTAATTTTACTTAGGTATTTGAGTGTTATTATATATTTTTTCTATTCAATTATTACCACATTTTGTGAGATAAATATATATTTTTTAAATGATAGATGATGAACATGGGATTTTATCTAAGATCTTCCATCAATGATAATTTTTTTTTTACTGATTAACTATATAACATATTTTAAAAATAAAAATAATATTTCAAGAAAAATCTATTATATGAAAATTTAAATCTTTGATATTTTAGTAAGTGAAATTATTGAGTTATCATTTTTGAAACAATATGAGTTTTAAAAATATTTTTAAGGATAAAAAAAATCTGACAGATTTATGAGTTATTGGGTTTCATATTCCTTAATCAACATGAGACTAAATAATCCTATCACTCATCAATTTATTTATATGATAGACGATCAAACCACCAAACGTGCAAATGGACAATGAGATCCTGCGGTGATCCCAACTAAAACATGCATTATGTGTGATGCTTATATTTACATATACGCGTATCCCCTATCTCCTTTCTCCACGTGTTCAACCATCACATCTCATTTCATTTCTCTGTAGAAGATAGTGGTTTCAGGTAACCTCGTCTTATTGCCTTGTCCGATCTACTGTTTGGCCAAAAAGCACTTAATCGAACAAAAAATATTATCTGTAATCTCATACATGCTTTTAAATAATCCAATTAATTGTAGCATATTTAAAATTGTACGAGAAAAAGGACGAAATTAAAAGTTTAGACACAATCCTATAATCACAACTAATCCCGCAACAAATAATCTAATGAGTTTATAATATTTAATTAGTGTGCGTGAACGTATATTCCCGACGTGATTCTTTGAATAGTTCAAAGAAAGTATCCGTCTATTGGATAGTCAAATTCTATCTGAAGATGCTTTAAAGGTTAATGTCTTTATTTTTCGTGAGACGTTGACGATGATGATGATGATGATGAAGAAGAACAAGATGCCATGTAAGAAACGTCAAAAGCGAGAGATAGGTTCGAATACGACGATGTTGGGAACGTGAACATGAAAGAAGTATGAATCCTTCTCTGTCATGAACCCAACTCATTGATGTATGAGAGACCGTATCTGATGTGATGCCTCGGTTGGATGCAATTAGATATCAGACCACATGAGTCGATCGATTCTGGTTGGCGGAATCGAGGAGTCACATTTGCATACTGTTTGATCTGATGAATCGTAAGTGTGTGGTGGGCGAAGCCCTCATGACGGAGGCATGAGCATTGATGAGGGATAAGAATTCCTCGACGGCCACGGATTCCATCCATGTAGGAGACACCGACGGACGCGTCTGCATGTGCCGCGCACGTGTGGAAGCGCGAGCGGGAGGATCGCCGATAACGACTCGGCTGTAGTGGTTTTGTTAGTTGCCACACCCTTACGGCTGAACCAACCCTGATGACGGTTCGGGTCACCGTGGCCTGCCCCCGGACCTCGCGTTGTGGGCCCCGGTCCCCGGGTCTCTGATAGTTTGACGTCATCCGTGAGCGTCTCAGGGGCCAGGCCGGTTTATTGATGTTTCTAGGGCGGCAGTGCCGCGGTGGTGGGAGGACGCGGACCGGGTGACGTCATCATGGGCCACGTCGACGGTCGCGACAAAATAAAAGAAAAGGTGGGCCCCGAGAAGCGAATCAAAGGGGGCAGCGCCACGGAGAATCTCCGAAGCACGGAAGCCGTCCGATCAGTCGGTACGTGTGGCGAGGATCTTTGCTCCCGGTTCGACGCGACCGAGGCGGTCACCCGGACCTCCGCCAGCTAGGCTTGGCCGGGCCCAGCCGGCACGTCAGTTCTTGGTTTGAACGGCTGAGGGTTGCTTCGGCTTCGTGATTCCCCCCATCGGCACCGTCCGCTGCCCCTCACCTCACCCCCCCCCACGTGGGCCCCGCGGGCGATAGTGACGGAAGCAGAAAAGGGCCGGGGGGAAAGCCGGACACCGCAAAAGGAGGAAATCTGCGACGGGAAGCAGCCGGTGCCGAGTGGGAAATGGACCAGCTTCCTTGGTTCGACAGGTTACACGCGTCGGTCAGCACCGAGTAAAACGGCCAGTGAGGGAGCGGTATTTACTGCGGCCCTGGGGAGACCGGTCTGGCCGCCGGGGCCCGCATCGGATCCGACGGATGGCAACAAGCCACGAGGGAACCAGCGAGCCTGGTCCGCTCGATGAGAAAGATAGATCGGACGGACAGCCGGGGGATGCGGGGGTAGAATGGGAGATCTGGACCGTCCGATGGGTTGGGCAAGTGACAAAACCGAAGGGAAAGCGGATGGGACAACAGAAAGAGGCGACGGAGGCAAACCACAAGAGAGCAGTGGCGAAGAGGAAAGAGGGTGGGAGGGACAGAGAGGAAGAGGAGGAGGAGATCTACTTGGAAAGATCTCTGCTTCTACGTCATTCTGAAGGGTTCCGACGAGATTAGGCGATTTGGGCTGACCCAAGGGCCCTGAATCTGGAAATTTCGGACGGTGAACGGCTTCGGTCGGGTCTATATGGAAGATCTAGTGGGTGAGTGGTGAAGGGTGAGGAGAAGCTGGTGATCTGATTGTATGACGGGGAGATATGGAGAGGAATCGTGAAGCGAGGAGAGGGACCACGGCGGCATCGACGGCGACCAACGGCAGCGGTGGTGGCGGGGGAGGGTTGTCGAGGAGGAGGCAGAGGAATAGCAGCGGCTTCAGAGACTCTCCTGGTTCGGAGTTTCCGGTCTTCCTTCCGTCTCTTTCTTGTTCTACTTGGATTTTAACTTGTCTTTCTTTGGAATTTTTTTGCAGAGGATGATGGAAGAATGGAGATGCCGGAGACGTCGCGGCTGCGGGATCGAGGGGCCAAGAAAGACCGGGATCGGGACAGATCTAGCCGGCGCAAGAGGAGGAGAGGGGAGAGGATGCTTCACGGAAGCAACAGAGATGAGGGGGACCAGAGCTCTGAAAACAGCATCGACGAGGACGAGGAGGACGAAGACGATGACCTCTTTGTTCCCGTGCGGCTACCCACACCCTCGCCTCCTCTACCTAATCCAGGGGGGGCTTGTTCGTCATCGCAGCAGAACCACCACCACCACCATCATCAGCAGCAGCAGCAGCAGCTGTTGCCGCGGAAGAACCTTCCACCCAAAGTCATGAGGTGGAAAACAGATGCGATGATCGGAGTCACGATACCACGAAAAGCTCGTTCGGGTAGGTGAGGAGGAGGATCGGAGGAGCATGTGTAATGAATTGAGAGAAGATTTAGACTCAAAATTGTTCTTTTTATTTTTCCTCTTATTTTTTCCTGGTTTTGCAGCGTCTAAAAGGTCACATGAATCTCTAGTCTTGGGTGGAGGTGGCGGAGGAGGTGAGCAAATTACCCAGCAGGCTTCCATATCTCCATCGAGTCTCAGCCCCGCTTCCGCTACCCAGCTGACACCCCCTTCGTCCAATGGCTCTCTTCGGAAGAAGATGGTTGGACCAATTTTAACATCGGATTCTACTTCTTTCCTTGTGTTGTTTAGGCGGTTTCATTGATGATCTTTTCTTCTTCTTTGTTGATCTTACTAGCATCAGAAGCAGATCACTGGAGCCAAACACCGTCCGCCAAAGATCTCCAAATCGACGTCTTTCGGCCAAGATGAGATCGAGATCGAGGTCGCGGAGGTATTGTATGGGATGACAAGGCGATTTGAGTGCCTTCCAAAGCAGGATAACCACAAGCTGGATTCAAAAGATGTGGATGGTGGGTCAGGCAATGAAGCTAAATCGAGAGTATCGTCGCCAAGCTCACCATCACCATCTCCAGCAGCCTATCCATCTGCACTTCCGTCGTCCAATTCATGTTCTAATCCTGCCCCGTTGCCAACGATTGGTGGGTTGCGTGCGCCAAAGTTTACCTCTTTTACTTTCTCTCAACAATATTTTTTCCTTTGCTGATTGTCCTGGTGGATATCCACAGCTCCGAAGAGAAAAAGACCGAGACCTGTGAGGTTTGACGAAGAAAGCTCCACGAGTCCAGTGGGATTATACAATCTATCGAGTATATCTTTGTCTTCTATAACCAAAATGGACCCAGAGCACCAGATTAAGGCAGAGGCTTCATCGCCAAGGTCCGAGAAGAACAATGCATCTCCTGCCATCATACAAGGTGGTGGGTCGGCTGATGTTTTGGTCTCTCAGGCTGGGCTCTCCGATATGCAACAACAGGAGTCATCCAAGACCGAGAAAAAGGATCTGCACCCATCCTCAGGAGGATCAGATGCGCGGGATGGAGTGGAAAATAAGGAAGAGCTAGTTTCTCCTGCCAAAGATTCCACTTGTACTGATGTGGATGCCAATCTTCGTGAGACGCCCGCCAGAAAGATGTAAACTCAGACATGCTATCTTTTGCTACTCATTTTTTGTTCAGAATTCCGTTTTTTTCCTTACACCACTTGTAATTTTACAGAGTGCCTGATAGCCCTAAGGAGGTGAAAATGAAGATCGATCTGATGGTGAGACCCAAAACTCCCTTGACCATCTTTGGAAGTTTCATTCAGCAGCAATCTAATGGAACGAAGTTGTATGCTTGTTGCAGGCTCCTCCTCCAGGGAAGCTATCACCAGATGCTGGAGATTTGCATGACTTTGATTCAGATCTCAAGCAACAGGGCCCAGAAATAGAAATGGTATGAGGCCTTGCTCGATATTCTGCTGTAAGTTTGCAGAATCTATTGTTTCTTAGACTTTCTTCTGGATGTCAGGCACTGAAAATGAATAATGAGAATAAAGAAGAGAAGGCTACGGAGAGTGCATTGGTGAGGGATGGGCAACAGACTGAAAAGTCCATGGAGAAAGATTTTGATTTGAAGAAGCAAGTGGCTATCAAACAGAACCTCGACTTGCAACTTGATTTGGAGAACCCGAAGCAAGATATTATTGTCACTGACAAGGTGCAAATGAGTAAGTTGCAAGTGAAAGACCCTAAAGCAGAGCCTAAACAAGAGAAATCTGGTAATTCTTTAATTTAGTATTCTCTATTCCTGTTCAATCTGTGTAACATTTGAATGCTGACTTTAGTTTTGTTTCTCTTTTTTCACTTTGAGCATCAGCCTCCTCCCTCCATGTGCCAGTGACAGTTGGTGCTTGGCCTGGAACCTTTCCTCCTTATGGGTGAGCAATTGATCTTGTTATTTGGTCCACTTCTGTGATGAGTATTGAAGGATTCTTCTTCTTCTTCCTCCTCAGGTATATAGGTCAAGTTCCACATCTGCAAGCGGTTGTTCCTATGGATGCAACTGCATGCCATTCCAATTCCTCTCAGGTAATCATCCTGTTACTAATCCCTCCCCCCCTCTTTTCCTCCCTCTCTCCCTTCCTCAGTGCTCACGCACACAGATCTCTTTCTATCTATATTTCTCACAGTTCCTGTTTTGCAGCTGCCAGCACTTCATCATATGCATTCTCGCCCAAAGCGCTGCATTACACATTGCTATATAGCGCAGATGATATCCAATCACCAGAAATTCGCAAGGATGAATTCGTTCTGGACTGCTGCAGCCGGAGCTGCACCTTTCTTGGGGGTCAAGAATTGTAATCTCACTTCAGAAGCTGCTCTGTCTGGGAAACCAATGCTGGGGAGCTTCTTGGGTATGAACATTGGCTCCATGGAAGAGGGTAAAGCGACACCAGCATTAATTGCAGCATATACAGGGCTTACCTCACAGGAGAAAATGCCAGCAGCTACAAAGTTGGAAACCACCCAGAGAAAGCAACTAATTCTCCAGCAGATGCCGCAATCTGGTACAGCAACTAACATGCCGGTAAGGCCTCTCTACACATTGATAATCTTTTTTTTTTCTTACAATGCTGTTCTGAGAAATATTTGTCTCTTTCATTGGCTGACCCGATAATTCTTCTATTTAGCATGGTCCAGCATTCATGTTCCCAATCAACCATCAACAGAATGCAACAGCTAGCACTGTGGCAGCTGCTGCCAATCGAGCTGGGGCAGCAAAATCTTCCACAGGTGCTGGTGCTGCTGAGTTACGTGTGCCTGGTGACTCAGGTTCTGCTGTGGGAAATGGTGGAAGTGGTGGATCAGCATCACCGATGATGAACTTGAGCTTTAATGGTTTTCCATCGAATGAAGCCCAGTACTTGGCTTTTCTGCAGAGCAATGCATATCCTTTTCCTATGCCTCCCCATATTACAGGGGCTACTCCCTTCCGTGGAGCAAGTTATCCTCAAGCAATGCCCTTCTTCTACCCTTCCCACATGCTTCATCCATCACAACTACGGCCGCAGCAACAACATGCGGTGCTCCCACTACCCCCTCATGCTCAGCAAAGCCACCAGAATCCAGGCACCTCAAATGGGTCCTCCCAGAAACAATTACAACAATCACAATGCATTGGAGAAAGCGGTGCTGGCCGTACTGGTTCAAGCTCTCACAGTTTTCTAGCTAATCAGCAGCATGACCTCCCTCAGCATTCTCATGCCCAGGAGTACAGTAAGGGCATGGAAGATAACCTTTCCGTTGCTAATGGTATGATTTATCAACCTCAGTAGGGCATATGTTGTCCTAAATATTTTTTATGTCAATTTACATGCAGAGATTAATCTTTATGTCCAACTTGATGCTGCAGCTGCTATAGCAATCAGCAGTGGTGGGGGTCATGGTGATAAGCAGGCAATATATCAGCAGGCACACCAGAAGCAGAACGTCAAAGTGGACTTCACATCACCCCAACCTTTTGGAATTCCAGGTGCATCCTTCGGTGGGATTTTATCTGCACCACCAGGCATTGACTTCTCTTCCATTGCACAGAACCATGCCATTTTCCAGAGCCTTCCAGATGCTTCTAGGTATGGTTACCACCAGATGGCAGCAGCTGCAGCTCAAGCTGCAGAACAGAAGAAGGTGCACAAAGTAGCAGAAGATGGGAAACCTGTAGCCAGGGAGTTGGTGAACACAAATATGACGAGTGAAGATAATAGAAAGATTATGTCAGCCAGCAAAGGTCCAGGCAATTGTCCACAAAATTCTTTCACGTCCACAAAATCAGAGGGTGAACCTCCCATTTCTTCGGTTGTCGGTAACAATGTTGTAGCTGCCTCCAGATCACTTAACCTCATTCAGGCTACCGCAAATGGTGGTGTATCTGCAGACCGTTCTCCCGGCATTGGTACAGCTTCAACTCCTGCTCCCACAGTTACCACCAGTATTGCGAATTCCCCACAACAGCAACACCATTTTTATCAGATTCAGAAGCAGCAACAGCAACAACTGCAGATGCATCACCAGCTTGCATCATCTCGCACTCTGCCTTCAGCCACAAGCAACAATGTCAATGTACACCCAGAGCGTCCTGGAGATTCTACCAGTACTAAGTTCCCTCAATCTCTAACTAGCTATCCTCAAGCTCTTATACAGGGTGGCAGTCCCACACAGTGGCCGCAGGCCAAGACATCTGCTGCAAGAGGTGCAGTTCCAGCTGCAACGGCTCCTACACCAGTGGTGAAGAACAGCCTTCTCCAACTTCAAGGCAGGGTGTCCCAACAGCCTCTCCCCACCCAAAGCCACCAAGCCCAAATATCGTTTGGCACGACATCCTCTAAAGTTGTGCCTTCAGGGGGTCAACATCTTCTTGGAGCATGTGGCTCTCTGTCTCCATCATCTGCTGCTGTTGCTGTTGGTTCGCCCTCAAATTCAAACTCTGCATCTAAGAGTGCTGGTGGCAGCCCACGATCATGTACCAGTGTAAAGCCAGGCCCTCAGAGTTCTGCCATTCCTCTTCCTCAGCAATCAACTGTCAAGCAATCAGCATTGGGTTCTATCTCCAAATCATTACCCATGAGTAACTCAAGCATGCCATCCATTCTTGGGCATCCTCAAAAAGTCCCTGGCCACAGCTCGAACACCAAGCAGCAACAACCATCTCAGCAGTTACAGAAGCAGCAACCCTTCTCTCAGGCTCAACTCTTCTTTTCCAATCCCCATATGCAACAAGTCGCAAGTGCACAACCCGGTGCTTCTGCACCTAATGCTGCTCAATATTATCACAAGCGCCAACCTGAACAAACACAACGACAGTCTCAACAGCAGCAGCAACAAAACTCAGCTGTGTCTTCTTCTGGGATGCTTTCGGTTTGTGCCTCTTCTGCACTGATGCCGGCTGGTTCTTCCACATCATCTGATCCTGCAAAGGCCGTGACCGCTATGAACAGTATGAAGGGCCTTCCACCCCCTTGCTTTTTTGGTGCTGCTCAGCTAGCTGTGGCTGCACAGTCTGCCTCTGGCTCTCCTCACCCTTCAATTCCTGCGACATTTGCTTATATGTCTTTACCATCAGTTTCTATGAAGCCCTCAGCTGAGCAGAAGCCTGCAGCTGGTAATTACTCTCATCTTATTATGAATTTTCCTTTAATAGCTTTGAAAACAACTATGTCAGACCCGAGATCCTTATACTACCGTAATTTTTTCACTCAGGAAGTGACAATTTACAATCCTGGCAGGCTGAAAAGAGATGATAGCTTGGAGAAATGACCTGCTGCTGATGCTGGATTAACTGATAATTGCTTCGCTTGACCACATCAGAGGCCTCTTTGCCTGAGATTCTAGTATCAAACAAGAGTCTCCTCCATCTATCTCTGTCTCTCTCTTTCCCTCTATTGCACTATGGTTGGCATGTTTTTTAGACAGTTGCAGTTTTGAGGAAGAGTAAAATATCATAAAGAAAGAAGATGAACGATGAGAAAGGAGAGAGACAAGAAGGTAGAAGTCTAGGCACAGAATGCATAGCCAAGAAGGATGTACAAAATTTTCTTTGTACCATGAACTGGTTCTTTTGTTTCCTTTTAACTTCGTCACTAACAGAAGAGTTTATTCTGCTCTTTAATGCCCATTTTGGGGCCTCTTTATATAAGGAAGTCGCCGATATCTTCTGTTTGCTGGACATCATTCAAGCCTGCTTTTTGATACGCTTTTCTGAAGGATTCTTCATTCATGCTGCAATAAATGCTTTACTAGTAGTTTTCCCCGTCGATGCTGTCGCTGGAATGAATGAATGCGGTTCATTCAATCTAATGTTTAGATTGACAAAATCGATGATTAAGATTGTTGGATGTAAGGGATCAAGAAAGTTTCCCAAAGTACCCGTCATGCTTCAAGAGCCGTAATCTCGAGATGGTCGTCGCTGGGCTTCGAGGTTACGCACATTGGGATGCAGTTGGAAGTCATCTTCAATGTTGTGGGGGAAACAAAACGGTCCCCTCCATTCTCTAACTTCACAGATTTGGAGATTCCCCACATCAAAAGCCTCAACATCAACATCATTAATGGAAACGTTGATACTTAATCTCACTTCTTGTCTGTGCTAGGAATGTAGAATGCATTTGATAGTTAATTTGAATCATTCTATCGATTTATTCAAGCAATGGGAATTCCCAATGCAACAAGAGAAATTTTTGTAGATAATAGTTCCAGTGTCATCAGCACCAGCATTTGGTAGAAACAAGGTCTTTCTTTCAATGAACAGACCTTTACTTGGACAGCATCCAAGCAAGCAACAATGCCATGTGGTACCACAAATATGGAGTGTCATCATTCGCCATCTAAATATGCAAACGCATAGCCAGCACCATAAGATAGAAATGAGAATGAGGTTCATGAAGAACAAGCTCCGTAGTCAAACCAGGGAATTCTTTGGTGTGTGTTGCAACAAGATTTCCGTGGTATAAGCTGAGCATCAAATCTTTGGAGGGATTCAAACAGGCAAAGATTGCTAGAAATTTTCAGATCGGTGCTTGTCGAACAGCATCGCTTGCACATCTTGGCACCACCATGTTATGAAGGCTTTGCGGAATAATATTTTCTGCTTGGTGCTTGAAAATTCTGCACAATATTTTCATTAGTACACCTAAAAGATCACATATTGTGGAATGGTTAATATATCCTGTGATCGGAAAACATAAGTAGTCAAAGATAATTAATACATCCTGTGGGAATTTGACAGTCTGAAGAAATGAGATGGATAAACAGAACAATAATAATCTACTGCTTTAAAATAGTGATCGTTGAAGATCACAGTTATATGATACATCGTAAAGCATATGTGATCATTGAAAAAATGGCAGAGTAAAACAACATCTAGCAATGTTCAATTGCAATGTACCTTTGCAAATAATGAATTGTCCGACCTTCAAGACTTGTAACAATACCATAAAGCATAGGTCAACCATTGTTCATGTGCAGCATGAAGTCCTTGACCTCCTGGGATACAACAAGATTATGTTAGTTTCTTTATTTTCAATAAAAGATATGAACACAAGCATATGATCATCTAGAACTAGTTACAAAAGAGAGAGAAAATTTGATTAGTACCAAGATAATACTTTACACAGCCGACATCCTAAAAGAACAGCTATCAGAAACTAGCGGGAGCTAAAATCAAACATTAGCTCGACAAGATCCTTACTATTACTAGAAACCAAACTTGGTCAGATTGGGATGCACATCAAGATTGACTAGGCAAATTTCCTCTATCACCAACCATCTTTGTGTCTTCAGTCAATTGATCCATGGTTTCTTAAATCAATGCTGGTCTTCTACGAAAAGACTAACTCATAACTTGAAGAACTTTTATATTTCTGTTTGGAATTGCAAGATAATGCTTATGTTTTATTGGTGAAAACCTTGGTTCTCCTAGATGTCGAGAACTCGTTATATGGCTGTCCTCCTAAATTTTCTCAAAAATTTTATGGACATATTTTATTTTTTTAAGCTATGGATTTATATCTTTAGCTCTAGATCAGTTATGCTTAAGTTTATGAGTTGAACCTCATTTTCATCAGTCAGTACTGTGATGGAAAGAACAGTCACAATGGTCATTAATAAAACTGCAATGATGTTTGCTCGAATTTGTTGCACACAAATATTTTTTAGATTGGTAATTGCCACCAAGTTTGAAGCTACAGCAAATGATGTGTATATCACTGCAATAATCTCTAGCAACAAACTAAAGGAACATTTTTCCTACCGGTTTCACTTGCCAGCCTTGTAATAGGATAGAACCAATGTAAGTGGGACCAGCCTGCGGACCCCCATTGCTTCTTCAAAACATAAGGCAGGTAGGTAAAACATATAATCCAAGATGTGTAGGAAAATAGTAATTTTGGAAAATGTTCTCATGAAAGCATCAACCATTCTTGCAACCAAATTGGAATTTTAATTTGATAATACAAGCAAAATTTTATTGGACAACCATAACCAACATAAAGTGTCAACTAGTAGCTAAACTTTTACATGTGTTAATCAAGTCTAATCGCTATTCAACCGAGATGCTTGATAGAATGATGATACGATCACAGTGTCAGCAAACCTAAAGGCAGGAATCCGGATATGAAGTTGAAATAATATTCAAGAAATATTGAAGATGAGAAAAAGAAATAGGGGCAGGCAACAGCCTTACTGTCCTTTGCCAATAGATCCATTTACCACCATAGGTCTTCTTCATTGTCGTAGTGAACGTCATATCTCATGACATTAGATGATTGAATAAATGAGAGAGAGTAGAGGAAGGTCTTCTTCCTGACATCCAGAATCATCATCCATCGGTCATACTATCCCTCTATGGTTGAAGTATATTTGCACAACCTCATCTTCTATTGGACCTTGCTATGTGGTAGTAGCATGCACATTGAAATGTCAGGTATATTTACGAAATCACGCAGAGCTCCCTGCATTCGTCGGTGGTGGCATCACCCGGCCAAACATGATGTAGCTATTCTCTACAGGAATCCTACAATACTGAACAAACAGCTAACCGGTGAAAAACAGGTTCTCTTTGTAAATATACCCTTTCTACGATGCACCCTTGCATGATCCATTTGAAGAGCCCCATTTCCTCGCACAATTCTATCAAGCTTAGATCGCAGTATCCAGATGAACTGCTCCCCTATTGAACTCTTGAATCATGACCAAAGAAGTTGCATAAACGAACTTGCACCATCAACTTGTAGCTCAAACCATATTACATGCGCATGGACGGGTATAAACTTGAAGAGCATTCTTAGCCATACAAGTTCCTAGCTGGAAACCTTATTTCACCAAGACAATGTTTTAACTTGATTATGAGAGACACCAGCACAGAGTACAAGGTGATTGCTCTTTGATTATCTTGATCACCTTTTGTCCGGGCAACTGTTTCACCCATCACAGAAGCAATATACAAACTGCATGGTTGCGTATACTTTACATAATTAGTTTGATCAATTCATTTTATACGTATATGATCTTATTACTCAGGTTAGGCTAATGGTGAACTAAATCCTCACTTTATAGGACCAGAACATGTTCATTTGGGAACAGTAATTAGTTCTTACTCTTCCAACCATGAATAAGAGCTCGAATAATGCAATAACTCAATTGCTGCATTTCTTTACAATGTGGCTTGCCTGAACTTAGTGTGAGACCAGCATCAGTAAGAGAGATAAATCATTCATAAAAAATGCAAAAGTAACAAATGGGATGGTTCTAACTCAATATAAGAAGATAGAAACAGGACAGATGTGGAGGATCTTCTCATGTTTCCTTTAAAATATGATGTAACTTTCACTCTCCTGATGAGCACCCCTAAAGATAACATGGCTGTCAACTTTCCTTTGTGAACTTTCTTTGATTCCTTTTGAAGTCCCAGCAGTGGGAAAAGGGATCGGTTCTCACACATCACAGGTCAAATCAAGGACACTTAACAGAGAGGAGAAACCAATCTTTTGCAATCTAACTTGGTAGAAGTTTGTCCCTTCAAACAAAATGCATCACAGAACAGAAACCTACACATTAAGTATCAACACACAGAAATATTTCACCTAATAACACCACCTTATGCCTTCCCCGAACAAGAAAAGAAATCCACCATGAAGAAACCCTCTTTGTTAAGCATCAAGAGCAACCAAGAACGCATAAATCATCATCAGCAAACAAGAAAATTAGTAATACCTGAGTTCTCCTCTATCAAATGCTAACCTTCCAAAGGACTCGAAACAACACAGAGAGGCAGGGGAATACGACTTGGGTAAAGAGGAGGAGGAGGAGGAGGAGACTTTGGTGGCCACAACTTCCTGTGAGCTCTGCAACTTGATAAAAGATCCAAAGAAAAGAGAGTAAAGTTTAAAGGCCACTGTCCACATTTTTTAGTCACCAGTCAAAAATTGACATCCACTTCTGCCCTTGCTGAATCATTATTTTAATGCGATAGAGTCGAGTAGAGTCATTGGAGTAGCAATCTTGTTCTTTCATCATAGATTACGGCCCCACCATGACACCACCACCACCGGATAAACAATAGATTGTGTTCCTCGCTGCACTCTACCCGAGCCGCATATAAAAATGGATTGCCCCGCCACCCCCACTCCCACTCTCCCATTTACTTCCGAGACCAGGTTCAAAGCGAAAGGAGCGGGACCATGAGGGCATCCAAGCATGACCTTTTGTCCCATCCCCTCCCTCCACTGCGCTCCCACCACCTCCACTTCGGTCTTCGTGCCACCAAGAATTCTGGCCACACTTCCCCGGCTGAAAAAAGCTAATAGGATTCACACCGCAAGGTTAGATCTGATGATTCGTCCGGTCATGACCCGCAGTCCATCAGAGATCATGGCCATTGGAAGTTGTCCTGCCGACGTAAAATATTGCAGAATTGACTTGGTTTGCAGGTCAAAATAATATGATGGATTAGAATACGGTCAGGTTTGGATGCAAGCGATGGGAATCCCACTCAAGACTCCCCCCCTCCCCAGAATTCAACAAGTGGAAAGAGTCATGTCCATCAAAGACGGAATCGAGAGAGGAAGAGCGAGCTAAAATATTGGTTTTAGCTGCCCTCCTTTCATTCATTAATATAATGCCGGGACAATAAAGAAGGCCACCTGTTTTATATTGGGGGAATGCCACAATAATTGCACCACATCAGAGTGGGGTTGAGCTTTTTGGATTGTTTGATGGGATCGTCTCAAATGCGTTACGGAGTGGAGCGGGGTTGCCTCTTGATTTGGAATTTCAAAATCCGACGACCCAGATGTTGCCATCATCTTCCAATTCATCTCCGTCTTCTCTTACCCAAGCCAAAAAAAATATGTATACCGTTCATACAAATAAACATAATGATCCCATAGATTTGACCAAATTTGACCAAATCTACAGGTGGCTACAAGAGGCCGTTCACTGGTGAGGGCCCCCATGTACGAATGGCTGGGTCGCGGTGGGACCCCATGGATAAAGATGCCGAGCGCCCCTCTTTATAACGGCCCCTCTCTCGGCTCCGCCGCGAGCTTCTCCGAGTCATCGATGATCAAACCCAGCGGCCGAACCACCACCACGAGCAACGGCAGCCGGAGTTGTCTAGTGACGGCTACCGCGCCGCTGCATCCAACAAAGGAACCCACCACCACCACCAACACCAACAGCAACGACGGCAGCCTCGCGCCGGTGCCACCCGCCTCCGCCGTAGCCAGCAGCGGCCCTTCTCAGGACTCCGCCGCCTCGGCACCCGGCTCGGAGGCGCCTTCTCGACAAAAGCATCAGGGTATACAGATATATTATATACATCTCGTGAGATGCGAGGACATATATGTAATTTTATACTTTGTAGGAATAAATGCGCGATTTGACAGGTATATATATATATATATATATATAATATATCTCATCCTCTGCTCGGAAGAATCGAGAGAGCATTAAGATCTAGTTGGGGACACATCGGATCGTGATGAGGAGGAGATGCGGAAAAGGTGGCACCTGCCCGCTCACAGGAGCACCAATATTTAATCGTTGGCGAAGGGAGAGAGAAAGATAAGAAACAATATCTCATTCCACCCTCGAGATATACCGATTTATAATGCGTTCTTTATTCCGAATCCCATTGTGGGCCCCGGTCGCAAATGCCATGGTGGCGAATGAGACACATGGGGCTAGAGCTCCAAAAGCGTGAACCAACTAACCAACCCCCATAAAGGCTTTTACGCGGGGGGTTGGACATCGATCTGCATCTCGCCACGCATCTCAAAGCATGACAAATCGTTTCACGTGGGTGAAGCCGGTCCACGCGTGCGGGGGCCCCAAATCTGTCGCCACGCGACGGTTGGTCTGCGAGGGAAAAAAGAGGGGCAATTTTTGCCATCGTACGGTCGGTCCCCCACCTTCGTCATCGTCCACCGTTTGGCGAAGGGGACATGATGGGGCGTAAGGTTCGCACGTGACGACGCCAATCCCTGTTGCGGCGTTGTCTCCTCGTATTGGGAGCATCAATCCGGCTTGATTAGCTCTAACGAATAAACTGCAGATACAAAGTTAAACTATAAAAAAATAAATAAATCAAATTTTGAATAATCAAAATTATTTTTATGATTAATAAAACACCTTTGAACTGAAAATTTCCCTTAAAAATTATGTATTTCCATCTCTATTCTATTGTAATATTCATCCTTAGTCGACTATGATTTGAGTTGAACATTTTATTATTCTTATTTACCCTATCATTTAGTTAGTCTTATTTAGTCGAAAGAGATTGTTATTGTCGTATTAAATAGAAATTGGATTCGAAAAGAATTTGATTCCGATCATTTTTCATGTTTATGTTATTGTGATATAGTGTTAGACGAAGAAAGAAAAGTTGTAGTCAATTTTTGTATTGGATAATTTATATAGATTATTATTTTTTATTTGGATGATTTGATGAGTATTGGATCTGTTTAGATTCAATAAATTATATTTAGATGTGTACGTATAGTCTTTGTATGAGACAGATGCATTTGATACTCTGTAGGGATTATTGTTTGTTGTTCGGATGATTTGGTCGAGTGTTAAATTTATTTAGATTCAATGAATTATTCATATGCTTAGAAGTGTATTTACAATATTTATACGAGACTATTGTATTTAAAGTTATCGTCGGACAATGATTATATACTTTCTTTAATCATGAATGCGATCTTATAGCATTGAACCCGAAATGGAATAACAATAGACTAAATCATCTTTCCATATATATACAATATGATTTACTTTATAAGGTTGGATCAACCTCCCAATTGGTGCCATGTTAGTTCTTAGCTGGTGCTATGTTAACTAACATATCGATTGAATGAATAAGTATCGATGTATCAACCACATGAATTGAGGTGTCAATAATAATTCATATCTTATCAATACTAATTCGTATTATGGATATTTATTTGTACTCATTATAATTATTTGAAACTAATTATGACCGAATATTTTACATGCTCAATGGGTCATTAACGTGTAATATGATTATTCGCATACCTTAACGTTTATCGTCTCATACTTAAATCCAATCTTCATAGTTAACAAAGAAAAAAAAAAGAAGAAATCCTCTGATGTATCTATATTTCCACTACTTAATCGGATATCATTTTAAATCAATTGTGAATGACAAATATATTCTTTTGGAAGTCATGTTGTGATCGTCACTTAATTCTTCTATCGATAAGGATCAACCATCACTTGTCTATGGCTCCTTATCATATTGTATTATCCCTAAATGCAACTAATATATTATTCGCTGAATAGTTGCAAAGCAAATGCCCACAAGTAATAATTACAAACAAAATTAGCAAGGCCATAATCATATATGCAACTGTTTGTATATCTATATATCAAGTCGTAATATGTGATTGATGATATTCTAGAACTACAACATGTCATATTTTAGCTCACAATCAACAAGGATGTAATTGCATATATATATATATATATATATAGAGAGAGAGAGAGAGAGAGAGAGAGAGAGAGAGAGATTCTGGTGGTAGTGATTAGAAATGGTTGCAATTAGATTGGAGATGGTGGTGAGAGGGGAAGAATGCTGCGGAATTTGAAAGGAGATGGTAATGGCCATTGAGGATTTTAGGAGGGTTTTTGTAATATCTCTTATTTAAAAACCTTCCACATAAATATACGTAATGATATTAATACATAACTTAATATTTTCGACCTATATATATATATATATATATATGTAGTCAATAGCATTGTATAATTGATGTTGATACCAATTTGCTTGGTTGGCTAAGACACTTGGGATTCTCTTCTCTTGATTGTCGTCCTATTTGCGTTAAATTTGATAGTAATAATTTATTGACAATCTAGCCATTGGAAACTATATAATAGTATTAGTCTTTTTAAAGCATTAATATAAAAAAATAAAAAATATATTGATAAACAAATCAATCAATCTTGAACACATGGCTCCACGTCAAAGCTTTTCTTAGATTAGAAGGAAGAAGACATCTGTATATCACAATCGATATATAAAAACAAAGACATTGCTCTGAAGACACAGCTGCCCCGAAGAATGACCTTCCACTTTTATTTATTATCTTCTTCTTCATCATCATTATTATTATTGATACTATTATTATAATAATAGTTCGGGAGGAGGCACTGCGGCTGGTGGGTCCAGTGGGTCCACGCAGCCGGGCGACGACGCGCGAAGCCACGTGGCCAACACGACAAGGAAAAAGCATCAAGGGGGCGCCCGGTCTTCATAGGCCCCACGCGGTACCGGCTCGAAGCGTCTCCGAAGTGTACTCCGCCGTTCGATTCATCCGTACCGACCGCTCAGATGAGCCCGCTTCGCTTGGCGAGCCGAGGCACACGCCGCTCTGGGTGCCAGATTGGCCCGGATTGCCCGGGCCCACGACGTCGTTTATATCCAACGGCGATCGCGTCCTCGCCCCCGGTGATACTTCCAATCTCTGCCGTCCGATCATTCCTAGCGGGCTTTCCACGTGGGCCTCGGAGGGGGCTACGGTGACGGTTCGGGGAGGGAGGAAGGTGCTGCGAAGCGTCGCAAGAGTAAATTTATGCGTTACGTCGCGCGACCGGATGTAGCCGGTGGAGATGCAGGTGATTGGGGCGCTTTACTCCGTCGAAACGCACACGTGTCGGTGGATTGTCAGAGGCACGAATAGGGCGGCGATTCTTGCTGCGGCCCGCGGGTACTCGGTCTGGCCGCTCGAGCCCTCAGCTGATCCTATGGCTTATATGTCGCCACGGTGGCACCGCCTCGCCAGGTCCGTCGGATCGGTAAAGAGGATCGGGCGGACCGCGGAGGGTGGTGAGCATGGGAGGGGCGATCAGGGCCGTCGGATGGCGCATCGGGTAGGGGTGTGCAAGTGACAAAACGGAGGCGAAAGCAGATGGGGGCAGCAGAAAGAGGCGACCGAAGCAAACCATAAGATAAAGCGAAAGCAGTGGCGAAGAGAAAAGGAGGACGCGAGAGGGAGAGAGAAAGAGAGAGAGAGAGAGAGGGAGCGAGGCGTTAGAGAGGAGGACGACGAGATCTGGCCAGAAAAATCCTTGCTTTTTGCGCTGTTCTGAGGGGTTCCGGGGAGTCTAAGCGAACTGGTCCGGGGGAAGGTCCGGAATCTGGGACTTTTTGGGCGTTGAACGGCGGCGGTCGGGTCTTTACGGGAGATCTGGTGGAGGTGATGAGACGATGAGGGGAAACTGCTAATCTGATTGGATGACAGGGAGAGATGGAGAGGCATCGTGAAGCTCGGAGAGGGAGCATGGCGGCGGCAACGGCCAACGGCGGTGGCGGTGGTGGAGGGGGGTTGTCGAGAAGGAGGCAGAGGAACAGCAGCGGCTTCAGAGACTCTCCTGGTTTGGAGTCCCGGGACCGTCTTCGTGTTTTTTCTTTCTTGTTCTGGTCAGATTTTAACTTTGTTGTTGCGATGGTAACTCTTTTGCAGAGGAGGATGGAAGGATGGAGATGCCAGAGACGTCGAGGCTGCGGGATCGAGGGGCCAAGAAGGACCGCGATCGGGACAGATCTAGCCGGAGCAAGCGGAGAAGAGGGGAGAGGACGCTCCACGGGAGCAACAGAGACAGAGATGAAGCCGATGAAAGCTCCGAGGAGAGCATCGACCAGGATGAGGACGACGAAGATGAGGACCTCTCCGTCCCCGTCCGGCTACCGCCGTCCTCGCCCCCCCTTGTAAATCAAGCGGCGGCTTCGTCGCCACAACATAACCACCAAATCAACCACCATCACCAGCAACAGCTACCCCGGAAGAGCTTTCCGCCTAAAGTTGTGAAGTGGAAGCCAGATGAGATGATCGGGTTCACCGTACCCAGAAAAGCTCGTTCAGGTAGGCGAAGAGGACAGGAGAAGACATGGGGAGGAATCGAGAGAAAATATCTATTAGACCAAAAAAAATCTTTTTTATTCTTTGCCCGTTTCTCTTAACCTTATCTTTTATTGGTTTTGAAGCAGCAAGCAAAAGGTCACATGAAACTTCAGGTCTAGGGGGAGCTGGTGGTGGCGGTGGAGGCGGAGACCAAATCACCCGGCAAGCTTCCATTTCTCCGTCGAGGCTGAGCCCGGCATCCACTACGCAGCTTTCGCCGTCTTCCTCCAACGGCTCGCTTCGGAAGAAGATGGTTGGACAAATTTCGTCACCATATCTGCTTCTTTTTTTTTCTCGTGCTATTAGGTTGGTTTAAGAATTTGACATAAAAATATCTTTTTTGTTGATGTCATGTTATCAGAAGCAGGTGAGTGGAGCCAAAATCCGGCCGCCGAAGATCTCAAAATCCACATCTTTGAGCCATGACGAGATCGAGATGGAGGTTGCGGAGGTTTTGTACGGGATGACACGGCAATTCGAGTGTCTTCCAAAGCATGATGGCCACAAGGTGGATTCAAGGGATGTGGATGGTGGGTCTGGCAATGAAGCTAAATCGAGGTTGCCCTCAACAAACTCGCTGTCGCCATCTCCGGTTGCCTATCCATCTGCACTTCCGTCGTCCAATTCATGTTCTAATCCTGCCCCGTTTGCTGCGATTGGTGGGTTGTGTGCCCCGAAGTTTACGTTTTTTCCCCTCTGTTTTCTCCAACATTTTTTTCTTCGCTGACTGTCACGTTGGTATGTGCAGCTCCAAAGAGAAAAAAGCCTAGACCTGTGAAGTTTGATGAAGAAAGCCCCACGAGTCCAGTGGGAGTACAGCATCTTTCGAGCTTATCTGTACCTTTCGTAGCCAAAATTGACTCAGAGAACCAGACTAAGACAGAGGCTTCATCTCCAAGATCGGAGAAGAATAGTGCATCTGCTGCCATAAAAATTGGTGGCGAGTCGGTCGATGTTTTGGTCTCCCAGGCTTTGCTCTCCGATGTACAACAACAGCAGGAGTCGGCCAAGACCAAGAAGGGTAAGACTCAGGAGTTGCATACATCGACGGGAGGGTCAAATAATGGGGACAAGGTGGAAAGCAAGGAAGAGCTTGTTCCACGGGCAAAAGGATCTGCTTGCGGTGGCTTAGATGTCAATATCTGTGACACGGAAGCTAGAAAGATGTAAGTTCTCATTTGCTATCATCTTTTTCTGCCAGAGTATTGATTTAATTTCGTGAACTACTCTTGCAGGGCGCCTGATAGCCCTAAGGAGGAAATGTTCAAGATCGATCTGATGGTGAGTATGTTTGCTTCCTTGAGAATCTTTGGAAGTTTCTCCGTCCAACATCAATTTAATTGAAGGAACGTGTGTTTTTATTGCAGGCTCCTCCTCCAGGGAAGCTATCTCCGGAGACGGGTGACTTTAATGACTTTGACCCAGATCACAAGCCACAGGGCCCAGATAAAGAAACCGTATGAAGTTTCCCTAACAAATTTGTCCATACGTTGGCAAAAGTTATTTTGACTTGTCTAAGTTTGCATCTCTCGTTGTTAGGCACTGAAACTGAATAATAAGGATAAGACAGAAGAGAAGCCCGCAGAGAGTACGGTGACTAGAGATGAGCAACAGACTGAGAAGTCCGTTCAGAGAGAGATTGATTCAAGGAAGCAAGTAGTAATCAAGCAGAATCTTGACCTTCAACTTGATTTGGAAAAGCCCAAGAAAGATGATAGTGGCATCGACAAGGTTCAAGTCCAAAAGCAGCAAGCAAAGGATCCTAAAGTAGAGCCTAAACAAGAGAAGTCTGGTGATGAACATTTCCAGTCGTATATTCTCATTCCTCTTTGATCTTCACCATCTGGATGTCTGAATTTCAAATTTTCTCTTTATCTGCTTTCAGGATCGACACCCTCGCTTCAGATGCCATTGACAGTTGGAACCTGGCCTGGTGGTTTTCCACCTTATGGGTATGCAGTTGATTTTTTCTTTCCTTTGGCTCTAAAGTTTGCTATCAGTTTTGGGGATTCACCTCCTTCATCCTCAGGTACATGGGGCAAGTTCCATCTTTGCATGCTGTTGTTCCCATGGATGGATCTGCAGGTCCTTCCAGTTCCTTGCAGGTTACTTCTCCTTACCTACACACACACACACACACACACTCTCTCTCTCTCTCTCTCTCTCTCCACATGCACACAAACACTCACAAATGCATGTGCAAAAGAATGTATGGAGGTAGACCTTCTGATTCTTGTGACCTCTGTTGCAGCCTCCAGCATTTCTTCAAACGCATCCCCGTCCAAAGCGCTGTGCTACACATTGCTATATTGCGCAGATGATATCCAATCACCAGAAATTTGCTAGGATGAATTGTTTCTGGACTGCTGCAGCTGGAGCTGCACCTTTGTACGGGACCAAGCCATATAATCCTAATATAGCTCCACCTTCGGATGCCTCTACTCCTGGAAATCCAACACAAGGAAGCTTCCTAGGTGCAAACATGGGCACCTTGCAAGAGGCCAAGGGGTCACCAGCTTTAGCATCATATATGGGAAGTACCTCACAGGAGAAGATGCTTTCAAGCAGTAATACAATCATGGAGTCTGCCCAGAGAAAACCACTAATTTTCCAGCAGGTGCCTCATTCTGCTGCAGCAAACAACATGCTGGTAAGAACTCTCGTCACTTGTTCATATCAAATCTTTTTGAACTGTTTGTACAGGGAATAATGAATTCTCTTTCTTATAAATCCAACTTTCTGTTGATGTAGCATGGTCCTGCTTTCATTTTCCCTATAAACCAGCAGCAGGCCACAGCTGCAACTGCCAACAGAGCTGGGGGAGCAAAATCTACTCCAGGCTCTGCTGCTGAGGTGCGGGCATCTGGTGCCATGAGTTCTGCTGTGGGGAGCTGCGGAGGTGGTGGAACAGCAAACCCAGTGAACTTGAGCTTTGCTAGTTTGCCTCCCAATGAAGCTCAGTACGTGGCTTTTGTGCAGAACAATATGTATCCTTTTCCTGCCCATATTTCAGGGGCTACTGCCTTTCGAGGAACAAGTAATGCTCAAGCGATGCCCTTCTTCTACCCTCCGCACATGCTTCACCCATCACAACTACGACCACAGCAGCAGCAACCACCAGCAGGACCACTACCGCATGTTCAGCCGAGCCACCATAATCCAGGCAATTTGAGTGGGTCCTCGCAGAAACATCCGCAGCAGTTACATGGTATAAAGGGAAGTGTTTCTGTTGCAAATGCTAATGGTTGTCCTGCTACTAATCATCGACAGGACCACCTGCCTCAGCATTCTCGTCCTATGGAGTGCAAGGGCATGGAAGATGACCTCCCCACTACTGATGGTACGATTTATCAATCACAGAAGGGCATCTTTCGCCAAACAATTTCTATGCCAATTCACCCTCAGAACTTTGCCTTGATGTCTGCTGGTGCAGCTGCTATAGCAATGGGCAATGGTGGGGGTCACGGTGATAAGCAGCCAGTTTATCAGCAGAAGCAGAACATGAAGGTAGAGCTTGCACCGCCTCAAGCTTTTGCAATACCCTTTGCATCCTTTGGTGGGGCCGGAACTGCAACACCTGGTCTCGATTTCTCTTCCATGGTGCAAAATCATGCCATTTTACAGAGCCTTCCAGAAAATTCTCGGCATGGCTACCACCAGATGACAACAGCTGCAGTTGCTGCCACCACACAAGTTGCAGAGAAGAAGAAGGTCCACCAAGTGTCCGAAGATGTTAAGTCTGTTGCGAGGGAGTTGAACACAAATATGGTAGGTGAAGAGGACAGAAAAATTATGGTGGCTAGCAAAGGTCTGCAGCATTCTTTTTCATTTGAAAAAGCAGACAATGAACCACCCATCTCATCCGTTCTCAGTAACAGTGGTGTTGACATCTCTGCCCGGTCCGTAAACCTCATACACACTTCTGCAAATGGCAGTAGGTCCACTGACCGTGCATCTGGCACTGCTACAGCTACAACTGCTGCCACCATCGCTGCCACCTCCCAACAAATGCAGCAGCATGTACTTCATCTTCAGAAGCAGCAGTTGCAATACCAGCTTGCATCGACTCGCTCAAAGCCCTCAGCCTCAAGCAACAATACCAATATGCATCCTGAGAGTCTGCCTGGAGGTTGTACCGGCACCAAGTTCCCTCGTGCTCTAACTGGCTTTCCTCAAGCATTCGTACAAGGTGGCAGTCCCATCCAGCGGCCTCAGGGCAAGACATCCTCTGGAAGACTTGTGGATCCTGCTGCAGCTCCGCCGCTGGTGAAAAACAATGTCCTCCAGCTACAAGGCAGAGCATCCCAACAACCGTTTCCCGCCCAAAACCACCAAACCCAGATATCATTTGGTGTGAATTCAAATAAAATGGTGGCTCCAGGGGGTCAACACCTCTCTGGCGTATGTCGCAGTCCATCTCCATCTTCTTCCTCTGTTGCTGTTGGATCGCCCTCAAATTCAGTCAACAAGAATGCAAGTGGCAGCCCAAGTGCATCTGCCAGTGTAAAACCCAGTCCTCAGACTTCTGCTATTTTGCTCCCACAACAATCAGCTGTAAAGCAATCAGCATCAAGTTCTAGCTCAAAGTCAACAACTGCGAGTAACTCAAACATGCCATCCATTCTTGGGCACCCTCAGAAAGTTCCTGCCCCGAGCTCAAACACCAAGCAGCAGCAACAGCCTCAGCAATCAAAGCAGCAACCCTTCTCTGAGGCTCAGATCTTCTTCTCTAATCCCCACATGCAACAGGTCCACTGTGCTCAGTCCAGTGCTGCTCCTCCCACTGCTGCTCAATATTATCAGAAGCGCCAATCTGAACAACAAATGCGACAGTCCCAACAGCAGCAGCAACAAAGCTCAGCACCATCATCTGCTGGGATGCTTTCCCTTTGTGCCCCCTCTGCGCTTACACTGGCTGGTGTTCCTACCACATCTGATCCTGCTAAGGCCTTGGCTGCTGCCTCTGTGGCTGCGGCCAACAGTATAAAGGGCCTGCCTCCACCTGGCTATTATAACGCTGCTCAGCTGGCTGTGGCTGCGCAGTCTGCCTCTGGCTCTCCACGGCCGCCAATTTCTGCTACATTCCCTTACATGTCTTTGCCACCATTTACGATGAAGTCCTCATCCGAGCAGAAGCCTGCAGCTGGTAACTAATCTTTTATTATCGGTATCTTATAGGATTACAATTTAAAACAGCTTCATCAGAATTGAGTCCTCATATTATCATAATCTGTTCTATCAGGAAGTGACAATTTACATGCCTGCTGGCAGCCTGAGAAGAGGTAATGCTGGACTGGATAACCATTGGCTGCTGATGCGTGGGCGCACCGGCTGCATCAGAAGCCACTTTGCATGAGATTCTGGAATCAAACAGGAGGATTCTCATCCGCCTTCACCGGCCCGGTTGCTGTTCGATGTGTGCACAATTCAACTTTCAGGAAATAGCCAACGATTGAAAAGGAAGGACAATTAGAGATGAAGGGAACCCAGAGGGAGAACGGTGGTGGTGTGGATCACAGCCTACCGGCATTTTGATTTGCTCTCGAGTCCCTTGCAGACGACGGGTGGAGGGGCTAATCACAATGCACTCTAGGGAAGAAGATGGCTGCATCCTCTCATCTCGATTTTGTATAGTGCAGTCAAATGCTAACACCATCATGGACTGTTTTCTTTTGTTTCGTTTTAACTCCATTAACAGAAGGTGAGGTGATTAAATTAATATCATCCTTACATGCTATTCCTTGTTCTTTCTTATGAATATTTCTCTTTGAAGTTGTTAGAGATTGATTTATGGTTCTCTTGGCTATACATGCTTGAAGCTTAGTGATATGAAGCATTTGTTGCTGTTCTTGCTGATAATGGATGATTGGAAGTTGGTATCACAAAAGCAGCAGCAGCAGCTTAGACTACTGCCTTCTTAGCTGAAGGTTTTGGTTAAAAGTACCAATGCCTCTCATTCCATTCCATTTCTACTTGGAGAGAGGCTGTTGTCCTCAGAAGTCACATCAACAAAGGATGTGAGGATTTGCCTAAACATTTGTCGTTCTCAACATCTTTTTCTGGTCAAAATTGTTGTAGATATGCTTGTGATATGGGTGGCAGAGGGCAGCCTCAATAAAGTATTCTTCGATACTGTTTGTTAGATTCATGTGTTGCGTCAAGGGTCCATCTGGTATGCAGCTTTGGTTGTCCCTTTATTGCCTTGACCTTTTTTGTTCTCTGTCATCAATTTTTCGCAGCCTTCACATCATCTTCTTGTTAAATCTAATTTTTCTTTAGTTGAAGCTGATGGGATTATAATTCCTGTATATGTTTATATATATATATATATATATATATATATATATATATATATATATATATATATATATATATATATATTTCAAAAAATAAAACATACTATAGAAATCATTTCTTAAATATAATAAAAGAAGATACAAGAAAAGGGCAGAATAATGAATATCATATGATTTTTTTTTTATGGGTGAAAAAAATATCTTTTTAGGTTTTTTCAGAAGATATTCTCAGTTTTTAGTTTTTCTAATTTTTTTCTTCTACTATTTGGTATTTTTTTTCTCTACTACTCTCCATGCATTTAGGAGAGAAAAATCAAATAAAAAATAAAAATTAGAAGAAGAAAAAATTCAGAATCCTTTTTTAGAAAAATTACCTGTGTTTTATTCTTATAACAAACATAACTTGATTGCCAAAAAAGAAAAAGAAAACCTGTGTAACTATAAGCTGAATGGCCATAGTGTTGTTCGAGTTCTATGATTAAGCGAAGGATGGCCCATGGTTTCTTGAAGCGCAAGCATCCATATGTGGCAGTGGTCTCCGGGATCCTCGCTGTGCCCACGTCTCCTCTCTCTGGTACCCAAAGCAAGTGTTCAATGTACCGTGCAGGAAAGATTCTCTGCGCACAGCAGATGTCCCGCCCAATGGCCACCCGAAAACACTCCTCTCACCTCAGAAATGCCCACTGCTGGTGAAGACGAAACCATCACCCCTAGTTTTTTATCCACTTACGTCCACAGTTCTCTCTGCCGTTCTTGTGAAAAGATCAACCGCAACTTTGTGTTGCAGCAGTGTTCTCCTAATCCGACTGCAGATTGATGATGTCTGATGGACATCGGCATCATTGGCTGCTGAAGACTGCGAGAGTTGCTTTAAGGAATTGGATGACGTGCATGCACTATGGTGAGGGCTGCTTGATGTTGATGAACTCTTTCTGCCCTCTCTGGCCTTTGTGGGGTGTATGGAAAGAAAAGCCACTCATCAGGCTGATGTAGAAAGTAATATTATTGGATATGACGAGCACCGTGGTGCAGGGACAACTCATGTCCAAGGGATGAGCCATTAAATGATATTTATAATTTGGTCCTTTCTGCAGTTCCAAAATATATTGATGAAAATGATTATGGAACAAACATTTTATATGGATGAATTTTGAAAAGTTCTATCAATTTACCCCTTAATAAGACAAGTGGAGTAATATCATGTTCCACTATATTAATTGATAGAAGTTTTCTTATTTAATTATTCTTATTTTTAAATCATCAAAGATACATATTTGAAACCCTATGTTTGTATATAACTTGATTTCTAATGAATTTAGAGTCCATTTTATCTTAGTTATAATATTTTTTAATTTTTAATAGACTTATAATATTCTGATAGAGGTATCAAAAATACTATACATACATACATACATATATATATATACTTGATTACTTGAATGGTCGAATCTTAGGTCAACTAATTAATTTTTTTATTAAACCTATTGTCTCACGGTTGAATTAGATTTATTTTCGGAGCACTCACATCTATTTTATCAATTTAAACGAAAATTTTGGAGCTGATTCAAATACTTTTATAGTCAACCAGATTCGAATTCAGAAAATTAATGTCTATTTCTTTACCTACCGTTGACCCTCTGTTTGACCAGTGATTCGGGCAGGTGGACTTTGACATCCTTATCGAGAACTGACAAGGTGGATCTGATCTGATCCACCCACGATTACGTGGTCCCAGTGATCACACCAAGACCACTTATCCACAACATATAATACTAATCTCACGAGTTCAATTGCATAGATTCTGGTCCAAGCAAGATTGCTGTCCTTGATGGTCATGCCCCATCACATAGAGGTTCACATGTTCCCCATCCATGGTTGTCATAGCTTACACGTGTCTCAGAGCCACGTAAGCTGAGGAAGACCCACCCGTATCATCTCTCCTTGAGCCTTCATTCACCACCTTGCTCGGCTACCCGAGGGTGGTGAGATAGAAAGGGGGAGCTTCTGCAGCATCTACGAGCGGTGAGGTAGGTGGAGGAGAAAGAAGAGAGGCTGATGCCGGTGGAGCAGACGTGCACTCTTCTCCAACGACGCCGCCGGCGTAAACAAGATATGGTGGCCTTCGAGGAGAGATCGGTCCCCCACCTCCGGAGTAAATGAGGAAGGAGACCAGCTTGCGAAGGAGACGAGCGGGACAGAAGATAAGGGTGTCAAAACAAAATCCCCACATCCTACGTGTCGTTTTTAGAAACGCCCTAAAAGGTGGGGCCCGCAAAAGAGGTCGCAACCAGACGAAGACGAAGCAGACGAATCGAAGTAAGGTTAACAAAAGCCGTCCCGTCGTGACCACCCTCGCCTCTTCTCTCCTCTTCCTCCGCCTCTCCGTCGATTCGGCGACCGTCTTCGACGACGAGGCGGGCAGCGACGTTCGAGCACGATTTGGTGAGCTCCAGAAGCTCGTTGTCCGTGCGATGACAATGACATTCTGGGAGTTCGACCTCTGGATCGAGGGGCTGCAGGGTGGTGCATCGCCTCCAACAAAATGGGTCGATGTCGAAGGTTGTTTGTATGCCTTCCATTACCTCGAGTCCTCGCGATGCTCATGTATATGTTGGACCGATGAGTCGAGTGCTACAAACAGAGCACACATAGAGACCAGAGCTGCGTTCGTGACCTCCTGCGATGGACGACGACGATGAGGATGACCTCCTCGGTGACGCGATGCACAACATTCTGGAGGTGTTGCAGCGGAACGTGGAGGCGCAACGCTCAAGGTATAAGAAGAAGGGAAGGGGAGGCGAGGGGCGATTGCGACCGCCACAATAGAGAGGAAGATGTCACAGGAACAGAGGAAGAGGAGAGGAGGGGATGTGAGGGCGAAGGAAGAGCGGATATGTGAGAGGCGTTCTATGAGAATAAATGAAAAGGGGGTGGAAAAAGTTAAAAAAGTAAGGGGCCTTTTTGAGAAATTATCATTATATATAAATAAAAAATAATAATTTTTTTTGCCATCATAAAATTTATAAAAAAATTAATATAATACCAAAAAAACTCTTTAATTTTGTTATCACATAAATGTTCCATCGAATATTAAGATCCTTAATATTAAGATACTCTTCGATGTGGTGAAAGTGTCTGACTTGAGATACTCTTTATAAATTTATAAATATATTAAATTTATAAAACATGTTTCAAAAAGAAAGAAAATCCTTAACATTCACTACTAACTATGAATATTAATCGTTTCTTATAATTTATAAAATTTTAATATATAAAACATGAATAAAAACTTAAAACTCTTACTACCATAATAAAGTGTGTATATATATATATATATATGGGTATAAGTGGCCCCCTTAAAACAGACGAGAAAAGGTTATACATGCTCATGTTTCCTCAAACAATGGATCAGTGCCCAGTCTTTCTCACCTCTCCTTTCCCACTCGTCTTTTATGAGGACAAACAAAGAGACAAAAGACATTTACATGCTCATGTTTGTGTGTGGATCATTTTGAATGTTGAGCATCTCCCACAATAATTAAGGCGACGGGTGGGGCTGCTCTCCTCGTGGGATGCCGTCGACCACATTTAGCTTCTCTCCAATCTTATCAAGCCGTGGTGGAAGCATGCACAGAGGCGAAACATTGGGTTTGATCCTGTCTTGCTGTCAGCAACTGTTCTAAGTTGTCGTTCCTTGGGAACATCTTTTGTTATGGATGAGATGTCAGAATCTGTGCTGCTGCTTCTGCTGGCTTCTGATTTGCTTCGTCTTCTTTTGGATGCACGACCGTGCGTACGAAGGCTGTGGCCCTCACGGCACTGTACGCAGGATCCACTTCATATCATTGGTGGTGCAAGTCGTAGATAATGGGGAATGGAGAATGAAAGAAGGGCTGTTCGTGTGACTGCACGCTGAGGCTGTGTACCGAGCACTAAGCAGGAGTTTTGACTGCTTATAAGAGACGAGTTCTGCTTGAACTTGATGATGCATATGATCGTGGACTGCTGGCGGCAGGTATGGCTTCGATCAAATCTAATGTCGACGTAGGTTTGATGACCTTGGTTCTGATAGAAGACTTGGGTTTGAGAGAAGCTATAGCCATTGCCGGCGTAGTGAGCTCATCCTGCATTGCTGAGCTTGTGGAACCTGCAGAGCGCAGTGGCTCAACCAGCCTTTCTCAGTCTGCGTGCTGCTCATCTGCAACTGACCACCCATTGGAGCTTCTGTTCCTCCCATTATTTGCTGCAGCGTGCTTCTGACGACCGTGTTGGACTTGCAGAGAGACGCTCAACCTGCTGCTGTTGGAGTTGTGATGGGTGAAGCATCTGGGAACAGTAAAAGTGGACCAGCCACTAAAGCAAAAGGCATTGCCTGGGGAAGGAGGAAGAGAGGAAGCCATTGTTCTTTGGTACATTCGGTCATGGAACATCCTTCGAAGCTGTCGAGCTAGAATTAATTGATTCTCTTGTTCAGTAGCTAATTAATTTACTGACTTCTTCTTCTGCTGTGGGCTTTCTCGAGATCATTCCTTCCTTTGGGGTTCCATAAACTCTGTGATACAGATATTATCTCCATCATGAAGAAACCTAAGCTTTCGGAAAGCCAAATTATTGTATAAATATCTCAGGATTTGATTGATATAATTTGATTGACCGACGAATGACTCCTTCCCCCACAAAATCATCTCAAGATTTAGAACCTTGTGGCTAGTGGATTGTGGTCCAGAGAAGATAAAAGAATAATTCTTTGGGTAGCCTTTAGAAGAATGATGTCTTCTCTCTCACCATGGAATCCAATGTAGTAGAGAGGCCAATTAATCATCAGATGCTATGGCCATTGTCGGCTACTGTAGTGCATGAGTGTGGAGGGCCCCAAACGTCCGTGACAGTCGGGTTGCTT